GGGGAGGGCATCCCCCCGGGCACAGCGAAGGCGCGGGCCGGGAAGCGCTGCCCGCACGGCTCCGCTCCCTGAGAGCGGCTCTGCCTGCGGTCTGCCTGTCCCCTGCCTGTCCCCTGCTCCTTGGGCCCCAGCCTTTGCGCCCGGTTCTGGAATGGCGGAGGTCTCCGTCCCTTCAGTTCCTCTGGGGGACAGGATGCCCAGCATTCGTCAAGCAGGCTGACAGACGTAAACAGGGGTCTTTCCCCATATTTGTACTTGTCAATTCTGAGCAGGCACGGTTCATCTGTGGAGCCCTGGATGGATTCCAGTCTATTCCGGTGAAACCCATTCCCTACAGGGTTCCCTCTGTCCCCGCTGCACTTCCCTCTCTGCTCCAAATACCACTCACGCATTCTCTCCATCTCTATTTTCAAACCTACAGCCGGGGCTGGTCTGGAAAGTGCGCTCACGGGCAGTGGCCAGCGGGAGGGGAAAACCTAATGGTCTTGAGAACAGCACTAAAATCTTTATTGCTAAGCCAAAATATTTTTAGATTTGCAGAGTGCAGCATCATATATGCAGTATAAGAGAGGATACTTAGGATAGACGTACTTTGATTGTTTCCCTTATCAGACAGAGTGTGACCCTCACTGTGTTTTTCGTACTAGCCGTGCTGCCTCTGGAAGTGTGTTAGGACTGGACATTGGCTGCTCCTCATCCTCTTTTTCCCATCTTTTCTTGGACAGGGTGTCTGCCTGACAGGTAGCCCGTGCTGGAGTTTGAAGTTCAGGTCACAGGTAGAGAAGGAAAGGCGAGCTTTCAAAAAGCTATCGTGAGATGGTTGTATTCAAACAAAAAGCATGGCTTTTTTGGACCCCATCTCCTTCGTGGCGTGTCAAGGTGCGTGGTAATTGTGCGTAACTTAGTCAATGACAATGGGAATTCACGTGCTGACTGAGGCTGTGTTTTGCTCTTGTTTTGATTTATGTGTGATTCTTTTCATTTGCTTCTTTCTCGTCATCATCATCGTTGTTTTCTTTTGATGCCCCTGAGGTTAAGGCATTAGTTTTTGGACCCCATCTCCTTCGTGGCGTGTCAAGGTGCGTGGTAATTGTGCGTAACTTAGTCAATGACAATGGGAATTCACGTGCTGACTGAGGCTGTGTTTTGCTCTTGTTTTGATTTATGTGTGATTCTTTTCATTTGCTTCTTTCTCGTCATCATCATCGTTGTTTTCTTTTGATGCCCCTGAGGTTAAGGCATTAGTCCAAGACTTCATCAGGGATGGAAAAACTAACTATCTGCTTACTTAAAAAACCGAATGCCAGTGATTGTCAAAATCCCTGTTATTTAGCCCAAAGATTTCTGAGCACTCTCGTGTCTCCCTGTTTCCGAGGTGCAGGGGTGGAAGGCAGCTCTGCGTCTCCCCCGGCGCGTGGCTTTGTGTGCCTTGCGCTGCTGGGTTCTGCCTGCAGCCGCCTTCGCTGCCCGTCCCCAGGGATGCGCTCCTGGCCACCCGGCTGCTCCGCAGTTTGCCTGGAAAGCCGGGAGCAGAGCTGCACGGGGGGAGGGGAGGGAGACCCGGGGCTGCTGAGTGGATGCCAGCGTTGGGGGATCCAGACTCGGAGGCTGGCCCAGAAAGGGGAGTCTCACACATGAGTCTTTCGAGACAACTTTCCTCTGAGAAGAGGACTTGACCTGCTGGAAAATTTAGTTGGCTGCCTGTAGAGGCAGGATTAAGTCTGAAATTTTACTTTTAACTGAATAGATTAGATTTAGGTTCCTTTCTGAGCTGCTGTGGACTTAAGGATTGGAGCTGGAGAATCTTGGGGTTTACGTGAAGGGGGCTGTTTTCATAAGTTTGCCTTCGTGTCTCTGGGGGCTGCCTTATGAATGTGGAAAAAGCCCCTCTGTAAAGCAGACTTGTAAACCTTTTTATCCCCCTGAGGTCTTTGGCACAGTCTGTTGATTTTTATTTGTGGTTTCATGCTGATTTGGATTGTTGCTTTTAATCCAGTGCATTTTAGTTTAGGTTAGCGTTTGTTGAAGTTTTTTTGAGTTGGCTGTTTTTTTGTGTTTGTTTGTGGGGTTTTTTGTTCTGTTTTCTTTTAATGGACTTCACTCATGTGAGTTTTAGAGTGTGTGCGTTGCACTGCAAATGTGTAAGTTAAATGGGAATGCTTAACAAAAGTTTATTCAAAATCTGCCAGACATCACCTTCATAGAAAAACTAGAGATAAGACACGTTGTGCTCGGAAACGGGGCGAGAGACTCGCGCATCCCATCCGGTACTG